CTGCAAAGTTAAAATGGCACAGTGAACAAAACAGTTTTGCACTAGTGGGAGACACCAGTGGCATCTCCACATAGATTCTGTAGCTGCAACATCTCTGCCTTGCCGAGCCAGCACTTGAACCGTGTGATATTCCTCCTCCTCCTCCATTTAGTAAGGCCACACCTTGTTGTGACAAAAGTAACAATGACATCACAATTGCTCTCCCTTGTGGATTTACAACCCTAATGGGCAGAATCCTTTTCCGTGCCGGGCGAGTATAATCCATGGCTATACAAGCAAAGAGTGTGTATTTTTAAACAAAGGAAGGTCTGTTTGTGCAAGGAAGTGCCAGACAGTTCGGGACAGGCCAAAAGACCAGCACCTTAATACAACAGACAATTATACAAGAAATAACAGGAACAGATTCTGCCCAATGTAACATAGTTCCACTTTCATTATTGCAAAAGGGTGTTTATCTCAAGTAACTGGTAGCTATTTGTTATTAGTTTAGGCTATGAACAGAATTGATCATCCTTACTTACAAAATGTCCATTCCTAGTTATATCAAACTTTCTTCTCTTCAATAGGGTGGAGAGATGACGTATTTGATTTCTGCTGTTGTTCAGAAGTCCTTGCAGCTCTGTTGCAAATCATTTCAGCAATCTACACATAGATTCAAATTTGCCTTCTGCCTATGGATGCCAATACTGTAAATCATTTCACAGGGATGAAGACTTTGCTCCGGTTTTTAGTCTACGAGTAACAAAGGTTAAGAACCACTGCTGTAAATCATTTCACAGGGATGAAGATTTTGCTCCGGTTTTTACTCTGAACTTTACAGATGGTGCTGAATTTTAGTAACCTGGTTCTGCATCTTGGATAGCTTCCATCACGCCTGAACTAAAATCTGGACTGGATTAAAAGCCCTTGTGAAATTGGAGTCACCAGCTTCTATTAAGCTTTGGAAAAAAATAATAATAAAAGCAGTCCCCCTTGGCAAATACTATGTGAACCCAATGCCTTGAAGCCCCAAACCACCTATAATAATTCACACAACAACTCTGATCAGGTTTAGTGTTTTTATTTGAGGAAATATTTATATCATTTACAAAATGTCTCTTAAAAACATAAGCTAATAAAAATGATATTTACAGCGAAAGGAATTGGGGTTTATCACCGGTAAGGTGTCATAACCAGAAGGCGGGCCATGATGTTAGACTGAATTGTCTGTTTTTAATCTTGTTTTCACTATTATCTTCTATTTTGATGGCTTTTTTATTGCCCTGTAATAAAGCTGACTGTTAGTAGTACCTGGAAAGCTACCTAAAAGATTTACGTCTCCCTGCTGCCTTGTAAAAAAAAGGAAGAAGGGAAGAAAAAGACCACCAGGGACACCTCCAGTGCAGAAGTGGGACAAAAAGCACAGCATCGGGAGCAGCGGAGTGCAGGAACCAAACCAAACTAGCATGGAGATTTCCTTTCCAGAGGAGATAAATTTCTCAAGGCGACAACCATTATGTCAATCTCACAGCCATTAAATTCTTAATTTGCAGGCAGTTTTGACTCTTGTGATTCTGCAGAAGCACCGAAAAATGTCCTCTAAAAGTGATCTGAGGGCATAAGTTTTAGAAATCACAGCTGTCTGGTTTTCTGAAATCAGGTTTCTAGTTCTCATGACTTGAAAACAAGATTTCACCATCTAACTCAGCCCATCTGCTACACGTCAAATTAAAAGCACACTAGATGGATAGTGTCACGTCTAGCTTGAAACCAACATTCCTAAACGGTAGAAATAACATTCTCAGGATGCAATCAGAGAGGGGTTTGTTCTGCAGTTTGGTCAAGGTTGGGCTGATTTGCTCTTTTTTCCACATGATGCGCATGTCACTGTGAACCAGCCTGCCCCAACTGATGCCCACCCGCTCCTTTTTGGGTCTCGGTCAGCAGCTACTGGCATGTGTGTGTCTATGCTGACAGAATCAATCCACTTTGGTTTGTTTCCAGCATACATGATCCCTGGGATCGATCCAAAGCAGTTCCCTGGCTGTCCCTTGATGAAGCTGCTTAATAATCTTGAGAAATGGAAAGGTCCCCAGCCACCCACTTGAGAGGGGAAGGGAGAGGAAGTTTTCTTTTTTTGATTGTTGCTAATGCATTGCTGATGCGTTGAGAGGGGTTTCTGGGAATCGCAGTCAAAGAACACCTTGGCTACTCAAGGTTGAGAACCATTGCTCTAAAGGGAAGAAGATCAGTCTTTTTTGATTGTTGCTAATGCATTGCTGATCCATTGAGAGGGGTTTCTGGGAATCGCAGTCGAAGAACACCTTGGCTACTCAAGGGTGAGAACCATTGCTTTAAAGGGAAGAAGATCAGTCTACAGTGGTGCCTCGCAAGACGATGTTAATTCGTTCCGCGAAAATCGCTGTCTTACAAAAACATTGTCTTGTGAAATGAAAAAGCCCATTGAAATGCTTTGAAACCGGTTCAATGCATTCCAATGGGCTGAAAACTCACCGTCCGGTGAAGATCCTCCATTTTCACTGCCTGTAAAGCGGGGGAATCCATCCTGAAAACACAGCGGGGAGCCATTTTGCACAGCGGGCAGCCATTTTAAACCACCAATCAGCTGTTTCTAAATTGTCGTTTAGCGAAAAATCAGTTCCCAAAGCAGGGAACCGATCATTGTTAAGTGAATTTTCCCCATAGGAATATCGTTTTGCGATCGCAAAAACTTCATCGTCAAGCGGTTTCGTCATTTAACAAGGCAATCGTTAAGCCAGGCACCACTGTAGATCCTGCTAAACAGGGTTGTTTGAAGTGCAGTGTGGCGGACCCTTGCAAATGGGTGCAAGGATAATCCCAAATGCCATACTGCATCTCAAAGCGACCCTCTTCAGCACAATCAGGCTGGGATGATCGGGCTGTCTAGGGACACCCTTAATTAGCTCCGTCCTCCACCCTATGCTGTGAACAAATAAAAATAAATTACAAAGCATTTTCAAAGGCCAATAAAATTAAGGGAAAATTGAGAAAAGTTTGGAAATACATTCAATTATTTGCATGAGTTGAAGAATTCTGCTTTTCCAGGCATAGGATTTGAATTAACTGAGAGCATAGTTTTAACTTTTTGTACACATTTGCAGGGGGCACTGGGCATTGGATCACTTCCACGATCTGGATAGTTCTTCCTTTGAAATGACATAGTCACATTCTCATAACAGACCAGCCATATTGATCAGGTACCTAATGATTATCTTTACTGCAAATCACACCATGCCAAAAAACCCCACATACTTTAATATGACTGTTACTCAGATGTGCGTACAACAGAAGGGTGAGAAATACGTGGCGCTCTGTAGATTGCTGGTTGTCAACTCCTATCACCTCAGTAAATAGAAACAATTGCCAAGGATGATGGGAAATGTAATCCAACAACATCTGGAGAGCCAGGAATTCATCATCCCCGTTTCTGACAAGGACTCAGTCTACACAGCAAAGAACAGATGACCCATTTCAAAGGATCTCCTGCTCCTGAATGAACATGTTCTGACCTCCTTCATCATTCTGGGCCTAGAAAGGTTACTGAAAAATAGGTAAAGTGCACAGAACAAAAATGGGTGTACATAAACGCCAGGATAAATTGGACTCTTCTCTCTGTTCAAATGTAAAATAAATACAGTACCCCGTATATTGGCAAACATACCATCTCTCCACCTTATAGCAGCCAGGCAGGAGAAGCTGAACAGCCCCAGAACTTTCTTTTCTACACATTTTTTTATGAAAGTCCAGGAGCCCTTTCATTCCTCAAGAAAGATTATACTCTAGGGATAACCTGGGCGTTTGAAAATGTAGCTCAAGCTACAGGAAGTCAGATCTGGAAATATTTAAAACCTCAAATCTTGCCAGGGAACTATTTAAATACAGAGAGCTCTGTTCACAATAAAAGACATTCATATATATATATCAGTGAAGAAAAAAGAAATTAACACTGGAAAAATGGTCCATATGACATGAGTTGAATATGCATGGTTAACTGATACTGCTTTTGAGACGGTAGTTAGCTAGTTAGTTTTCCTCCACCTTTCCGGATTCTGGGACCCAAAATGGTTTACAAGATATGTTTTTAAAAACAGGTTCAGATAGAGAACACACTCTTTTTTTACAATATTAAAAGAGTACTAAATTATTAGTTCAAAGCAAACGCAGAATAGCTTAAAATAATGCAAAACCAGTTCAAACAAACAAAAAACAGCAGCAGCAAAACAATACACACTATTATCAAATAAATAAATTAAATAAATATGATTAGGTCCAGATTAGTAGCTATAACTGCGGGAATAGTATCAGCAAGAAGGATCTTGGCGTTGTTGTAAATCGCAAGCAAAATATGAGCCAGCAGTGAGATGCGACTGCAAAAAAGGTAAATGCTTTTTTGAGGCTGCCTTAACAAAAGCATAGTCTCCAAATCCTACCAGGTATTAGTTCCATTCTATTCCCTTAACAAAAGCATAGTCTCCAAATCCTACTAGGTATTAGATCCATTCTATTCGGCACTGGTTAGGCCTCATGTTGTGTATTGTGTCCAGTTCTGGACACTGCACTTCAAAAAGGATGGTGACAAATTGCAACAAGTTCAGAGAAGGGCAACAATAATGATTAGGGGATTGGAAACCCCTAATGACCTATGAGGACAGACTGAAAGAACCCAGCATGTTGAGTCTTGAGAAAAGAAGTCGGAGGGGAGATACGAGAGTAGAGGAGGAACAGAATCTGTCCCGTACAGAGGAAGGACAGAATCTGTTCTGTCACCCCACAGCGCAAGACACGCAACAATGGGCTCAAGTTACAGAAAGCCAGATTTTGGCTGAATATCAGCAAGTGCTTCCTAACTGTTAGAGCAGGAAGACAGTAGAACCAGTTACCTCGAGCGGTGGTGAGCACTCCAACACCGGAGGCCTTCAAGAGAAACTTAGACCAGTGGTCCTCAACCTTGGGCCTCCAGATGTTCTTGGACTTCAACTCCCAGAAATCCTAGCCAGCAGAGGTGGTGGGGAAGGCTTCTGGGGTTTGTAGTCCAAGAACATCGGGAGGACCAACGTTGTGGACCACTGACATAGATAATCACCTGGCAGATCTCATTTGATCTGTATTCCTGCATGGAGCAGGGAGTTGGACTCGATGATGTTACAGGACCCTTCAAACTCCGTTATTCTATGATTCTATGAATCTCTTCCCTCTGAATGTCATCTTTGTCCCAAAGTGCCGGTGTGACTGTTAAGGTTCGTCTCTCCACTTCGACCCCCTTGAACTACAAACATCGGGGCCTTTCTCAGGCCCAAACCCATCCTAGTTGCTCTCTAAGTTTTGCTAGCAGCAATACACTTTCTGTCAGGAAAGAGCTGCCATTGTCAGTCCCACTACAAATCAACACTTCTATCTATTTTTTAAAAAAGCACAGCATTCTCAAAAAGAAAGTCAGGAAGGTGTATAGGTCTTTGGATTCAGGACCCCACACAGGAGTGAGCTGGGGTGGGGGGGAAATCATTACTCAAAATCAAGAAGGAAAAGAAAAGTACACGGACTCTCTGAGTCTCTGTTATTGGGTCTGTTGATTCTTCTTCTTCTTGGCCATGGCAACGCCCAAGATCCCAAGGGTGGCCAAACCCAGCCCAGCAATGCCAACTCCCACCACAACATCTCGGACCTGCAGGAGCAAAAGGGGAGCCAATCAGCAAAACCAATGAAAGAGTGGGATGCAGGAATATATCAGCACTGCGGGGGATTGCTGTTCCTTCCGAACGGGGAAGGTGCTGTACAGCCTGTGTAACTTGTTGCAGCTCAATGACAAGACACAATCAGGCACACGACTAAGACGTGCCCTTGTCAATTAGTTGCAATTGACATTGTGCTACGTTCTGATGCAAAAAAAAAGAAAGTGGCAATTAATTATGGCAAGTTTTGCAAACCTTATGAGAGCTTCAGTGGGATTCTGCCTATGATTCCATATATTGCACTGCTTTGTTGTAAGACTAACCTCGACAAGGAGGCCCGCCGAGGTCTCCCATCTGAAGAGAAGCTAAACCCTGGCATGCTTTCTACAAATCATGCCTTGCCAATTGAGCAGCAAAGAGCAATAGCTGTATTTATTAATGGCCACGACTTCTCTTTCATGACTTACCCGGGAAAACAAACAGAGCAATGTTTTAAAGGCCCCACTTACTTGATCGCTCCTGGCCACTCCATAGCGCAATTCGGTGACAAAATGTTCACAGTTCTCGCTGGTGACTTTGTAGGCCAGCTCCTGGCCCACTCGCTCCTCGGCCCGCCGGACGATCTTGGCCGGGGGCAGCGGAGGGTACTTGGCGTCGTGCTTGTTGTTGACACGGTAGCGGTTCGTCCCAACCACGTCGCGCAGCAGCTCCTTTCTCACGAAAGCTTTGTCAGTGAGAGTCGACATGAGGCTGGCACAGCCGGCCCCAGCGTATTCCACTAAGGGAAGGAGAAAAGGTGGATGAGGGAGGGAACAGACGGATGCACTAGTCACTGATAACCCGAGTGAAGAGAATTTAACCAAGTCCCATCACAGAAGTTTTGGCCTGGCATTCTTTACCATTGGCCATTTGAGCCGATGGGAGGTCAAGGTCAAAACATTTGGAGGGCTGAAATGCCCCAAACCATTGTTAAAGGGATCCCTGTCTCTGCCGCCAGTTAGCAAAAGGAGATGGGGAGGATTCCTAGAGATTTAGGAAACCCCCTGCCAGTCCCAGGTGGGGTGGCATTTCCCAGGAAGGCTTCCCAAGACAGCTAGGCTTCCTCAGCCTGTTATAAATAAAAGTGCCTGGAATAGCACACGGGGATTTTATAAAGTCAACAAGCCTGCTTCAATCATGGACCTTTTTCTGGAGCCAAGGAAAGCTGTTTTAATTTTTAAAAACAGCTTTTTTAAAAAAGGCAAACCTTCTAATCACTTATAACTCTTCAGCTATAATATATATGTATATATATTAAAGCTGGGGCAAGTTCCCATACAAAAAAGGAATTTGTTTTTCCATAAGACTGAACTCCAGCAAGGATTCTGGCTCATTCAACCACTTGAATATGATTACCAATTGTCTTTTTTAATTGACTTTTGAACCTCGTGGGACACCTAAAATCAGCTTCCCTCCGCAGGGGATCTGCAATCACTACGACCATGGTGATATTTCTACAAGTTCCCGAAATTCTGAGAAATGAGAAAGTAAATAGCTATTGGCAACTAGACTAGTAATTGGTTGTGGAGCAACTTGGAAATACATTTGTAACTAGTTCCTTTTTAAAACTGAAGTAGTTAATTCTAAGCAGTAAGATTACAAACTCTGGCCTGTGTAGCTAGCAAATGTTACTGCAAGACCACTATACTTGTGATTGTGCTATTTTCACAGTTAGTGTAAGCAGTGATGTCCAGTGTAGCTTCTCGTGTGCAGTTATCACTAGCAGAGGATCTTTACATCACTAGCATTATTTGGGACGTAGACTTCTAATTTTAATACCCACATGGGTATAGGTGAAATAATGAATTGTAACCTACAGTACACAGAATTCCCAGTGTGGTATAGTGAACAGAGTAACAGATCAGGATTCTGGAGTACAGGTATCAAATACCCATTTGGCCATGAAACTCACTGGGGGAGTGGAACTGTTTAAACCACTCCTTAAATAGCTTACTTATCTTGAAAACCCTATCAGGGTTGCAATAAGTCACAGAACACACACACACATACACACAGCGTACAAAATCTAGTCCTCAAATAATGGAGGCTAAGATGGGCAACAAGGGACGTGGTAGCACTGCGGGTTAAACTGCAGAAGCCTCTGTGCTGCAAGGTCAGAAGACCAGCCATCGTAAGATCGAATCCACGTGTCGGAGGGAGCTCCCGTCGCTTGTCCCAGCTCCTGCCAACCTAGCAGTTCGAAAGCATGTAAAAATGCGAGTAGATAAATAGGGACCACCTTGGTGGGAAGGTAATAGCGTTCCGTGTCTAGTTGCACTGGCCACGTGACCACGGAAACTGTCTACGGACAAACGCTGGCTCTATGGCTCGGAAACGATGATGAGCACCGCACCCTGAAGTCGGACATGACCGGACTAAATGTCAATCTTCGCACAGGGCAGTTTCCTCAGTATCAGCCGGGGCTTTGAACCTACTAAAGCTGGCCGGCTTGCTACTTCCTCCCGCTCTTGGACCTCCAAACACTGAGGCTAGCCATTGTAATGGGGGGGGGGAATGATGGAGAGGTTGAGATGATTCCTTACTTGGAGGAGCCAGATGGATTACGTATCCGTTTCCCACATAGAGAGCCCAGTGCTGGTATCCAAAACGGAAAATTTCGATCAAGTCTCCGAGCTCTAGGTCAGCCTGCGAGGAAAGAAAACGGGCAAACGTTTTTATCTGGTTCAAAAGGCAGTCCGAAGCACAAACAAAATATTTTCAGGCTGCAGCTTTGGAACAGAGAAAGAGAGAGAGAAAGAATTGTACCCACACAACTCTGACAAACAAATCTGTGAGCTTGCAAGTACGTAATGGAACAGCTCACACATCCGAGGGACGTTCTAGAATGTCCACAAACACAGCCCTCTGAAAGGGAGAACAGTTCTGGCTGGAATCCCACTGTTTCTGCTCTGTTTGTAACTCCATTGTTCTATTGTACATTGTCATTTATGTTTTTTAAAAAAGATCTGTTCAGATTGTTTCAGTTTCTTTTTACTGTAAGCGTTTTGAGGGGTTTTTGTCAACGGGATATGCATTTTTAAAATAAATAAGCATGAACGAATAACACTGAAATATCAGGTATAGCTTTCGTTTTCTGATTCTGCTTACACAAAGTTTAGCTAGAAAAGTAAACAAGAAAGCTAGAAATATAAAGATATTAACCAGGAAAACTCGTCACTAGAAATGAAATGACATTAGTGTTTTAGATATGTTATTCTGGCCGAATCCAGAGGTTTGAGAAATCAAATTTGCAAATTACATCTACATTTTGCTTGAGGTGATCAGTCCCAAAACACAGCAAGCTACATGAGGACAAAAAAAGTTTCAAACAGACACTTTCAGCAGTAGAAGAACTGCATATTTTAATTATGGATTATCTGTCATGTACAGTTCCCAGGGCAACCCCAGAAGAAAAGAATGGTAAACCACTTTGGAGTACTCTCTCTCTGCAAAACCCTGAAAAGGGTCACCATAAGTCAGAATTAACTAGATGGCATATGATTATTATAATAGTGGTTTAGGTATTTGGCTGCAGAGCCAGAGTTTGGAAGTTCAAATTCCCTTCTTTGCCTCCTTTGAGTAGAGCCAGCCTGGGTAGCCTTGGGCAAGCTGCAGAGTCCCACAGCGCCTCTAGAGGAAGGGAAGGGTAAAGCACTTCTGAGTATTCTCTACCTGGAAAGGGTTGCCGTAAATCAGGTTTGACCTGGTGGCACATTGCTGTTTTTGTTATTAGTCAAAAACTTTAAAGGAAAGTAGATTTACTCATAGCTTTGTTGAACTTCCATGTCCAAGGCTTGTCTACCTGTGAATGTGGATGTTAGAGGACTGGGCAAACGGGGTGTAGCTATTTCCCTTCACAGCCTGCTTTTAAGCTTTTAGAAGCATTTAAGTGTCCAGTGTTTTGACGGGGGTCTCAAAAATAGAGGTGCACAGTTTGAGAAGCCGGCGGGCCACCATAAACGGGTGGCGATGGGGCCCCTTGGGAAGTAGAAGGTGGCGGAAAGGTCTGCATTCCAGACAAGAAGCAAAATCGCTTTCGAAATGTGGTGAGCAAGGAGCGGCCTCAGTTTCTGATTCCCTGCAGGCAAGAGCTGGCAGAAGAAAGGAATCAGAAACCACTTGGGAGTAGCCTCTACATTCCAAAACGGATTAATTCCCTAAGTAGAGGGTCCGCTGTAACTGGACAACCCTGAAAAGGGTTCTTGTACACTTTCTGGGGATAATAACCCAGAAAAACTAATTAAAATTTTGAAACTGTCAAGCTTCCTTAAAGCCCCTAGTATAGTTATTAACAAGTTATATCTGTGTTGGGGTTTTTTAAAACTGAACATGTTCCATCCAAACACACCTATATCAAGCACTGGAAACTTTTTCAAAAAAAAATATTCCTCTACCCAGCACCATATTTGCAGAGCCTTAAATGCAGCTGCTACCATTTCACCCACAACAGATGCGAGGCCACCAGGCCAGGATGTTGGCCCCTTAAATCAGCAGAATTAGCTATCTGACCTTCAATACAGCCCCAGGACCGGCGAAGGGCATTCTGAACTCAGCGAAGTAATAATGCATGCGCTTCAGTTCCTTAGGGAGGGTGAGCCCCGTTAAGACCCAAGAAGTCCAGGGTTCGAAATGAAGTAACTGCCCGTCTCTTTCTTGGAAAGAATTGAGATCTCTGCTTCTTTACACCCTTAACTCTTTCTTTCACAGAGCCATTGGTAGGGCCCACAACTGGGGCTATGATTGAAGGTGCCAGCCTTTGGAATAAGGCATGATCATTCACTATAGGCGAAAAGCACAATCCTGCCATTCACCAGTATTCACTCCTAGCAAGTGGAAACCCACCTGTCGTGTCAGAGGTGGGAATACAAAACAGACCGGCGCTAGGCCCAAGGCATCATCCTTCCATCCTCCCCTGCAAACACACCATTCTCATGCGAGTCAAGCTTAAACCCCAGGACAGCCCAGCCTCAGGCATCGAAACTGCTCTGTGCCTCTGGTGCGCCCTGGCCAAAACGCACCCACGCTTACTTACTGAACGGAATGCTAGCATCCTATCGCTCGTCGCCATGAGTCCCCGTCGCCTTGTCCAGAAATGTCCAGGGGGGGAAAAGATGCCCCAACAGCAGGCGATCCACAGCTTCCCACCCTGGATCTGCCAACAACTGAGATCGAAACCAAAAAGTGACAGCTAAACATTATCCTCCCGGGGCCGGGTGCGGCGAGCGTGGCACTTCGTGGGCAGAGCGCCAAAGTCCGAGCAGCGACAGACCAGGAACCGAGACAAGTCAGATGTTTTGTTTTGTTTCCTCTTCCAGGATCTAAGCAGCATTCATGGCATGGTGGGGGTGGGGGGCACAAAGGGTCCCTCCCACTATCCCAGCCCCTGCAAATCATCTCCGAAGGAAAGAGTCTGGATTCTGAACATGATATTCTCTTACATTTCGAAAAGAAATTCCATGGGCATTTGCTGATGTGCATTCAAAGAGCAACTCCTCTTTCTCTTTCTCCCCCCAAACATATTTTCGTTAACTGTTTCATAGCATCATCTCATACCCTGGTGGGGGAAATCGCCCGGCGAACATTTCCTGGCTAATTTGTAATGTTTCAGTTGGTTCTAGTTCACCTCTGGAGCCAGACAGAGAGAAGGCAGAGAGCTCTTGTCGGCTTTGAAAAATCTGAGGATTTATCACCTTGCTTTGACTTCTTTCAGTATTCTTTCTTCAGCCTCTTTACATTTCTGACAATTTTGCTTGTACAGTATTTTGTTTTTTTGCACAGCGTTGTGTGGAGAGCTTGAAAAGACCTATTTACCAGCAATTTCCTTTAGTAAGACCCAAGGCATAACTTAGTTACATTTCAATTGCAATGCAATTGTACTCCTTTCGCCGTGTAACTGTAACTGTTGTTATTTTGACTTTAACCTCAACTGACATGGAAAAAAACCTAGC